TTTCTCGCGAGGACGTTTTACATGTACAAAAAAAAAAAAAAAAAAAAAAAAAAAAGCGAAAAAAAAAAAAAAAAAAAAAAAAAAAGCAGACCTTTTGACACTTTATGTCGATGAAATCGCGAGCCGAGAGAAATGAAAACGAGATACCAACGGCGCGGCCGGACTCGTTGAACGCGAACGCACTTACGAAGAAGGCCGCACGAAACCCGGAATCAATAGCGGACGGCGGATGTGCGGGACGGACGGACGGGCGGACGCGGACACGGCGGGGCGGGAGTCGCGCGCGCGAGTCAGGACGGGAACCCGAACGACGAAACGCGCAAAAACTCGGCTTCTCTCTTTCTATTGAATTTGATTAATATGACGATTAGAAGTCTTGATTTTTCAATTACGTATATTGAATTATAGCATTAGAGACAAACATATGAATGTTTTTCTTACGCTATACATATATCGAGATATATCCGGATTTTTCTGCATATCGTGACTCGTACTCGATAGAAAATACAAAACGCCCCGTGTGAGATAATCAGTTTAAAAATAAATTCGTTTTCATTTTCATTTTTGTCTAAAGCTTTGCCAAGTCAAGACAGCAAAAGTCAAGCGATTAATCGGTCGTTTACTTTTTCCAACGATAAAGAGATAAGCAAGTGCACATCGGGATGCTCCGAGAAATATCTTTGAGCTTTTGGCTTTTTTTTGAGCAACTTATAAAATAGCACACGGAATTTGAATTAGAGAAAATCAATGGAAGAAAATTCAGACTTAAAAAAAATAATGCGAATGATCAAAATACTATATGTAAGATATATTCCATAGCTACTGTTTGTATTAAAGATTATTTCATGTCTGTAAGATATTTATTGTAAGATAGGAATTCCTCATTTATTTAACGCATCATGATGCAAAGCTGCTTTTAAAAAAATCGCGTAAACTTCCCTCAAAATGCATGTCTCCCTACTTTTTTTCCCCCAAATAAAGACAGAAAATTTAACTATTGTGATTATCCCTACCGGGGAATATCGTTAAAATCAATCGTTGAATTCCATGTTTTTAACGCGCGAGACGACCATCTTTTCATCCAACAATCCCTCTTTCTACGATATCGGAGAGATTAACATAGAGAGTAAGCGGATTATATTTCCTCGAGCAAACTGCCTTTAAACATATACAAACGAAACGATATTGAAAAATAGGCGGATATGTGCATATATTTTATTGTAATTAAACGCGCAATTACGTTCGTGACAACGGGTTGTTTCTTTGTTGCCTACCAAATCCTATCTCGCGCATACAATCAAAGAAATTCCAACACATGATTTTTCTCGATACTCTTAGATACCACTAATGATTTTACTATTAATAGACATCGTATTTTCCAAAGGTAATCAATAAAATGAAGTCACCACAAACTTCATGTTGTCGCTTAATATATAAAAAAACATTTTTTCTTAAATTCTTTTATTAAGAAATAAAATTTGTTATATTTAATTTTAACCAATTTTTATATTGGACAACACGAACAATGGGAACAAAATAAATAATTTGTCCATGCGTGTGTGTGTCAAGCATCCTATCCCAAATATATATTTCGTTGGAATTGTCGATACCATTCTATTTCAACAATTAAGAATTAACAAAGATGTATTCAATTAGCTATTTCCGGCAAGCTAGAGACGACATATCGCGACACGAGATGGAAAAAACGATGGACAAAGTCAGATAAAACTCTCAGGAGATAAAACATCACAAGAAAGAGAGAGAGAGAAAGAAATACGAGATTCGCTTTCTTTTTAAGGTAGCTATATGCTGAGCGGAAAAACACAATCACACAACATAAAACCAAATTTACTTAGATCTTTTCTAGTTGTACCCATCATGAACGCAAATCAAATCAAACATTATTTTATAATAATTCTAAAAAACATAAAAAAATTGAGTTTTGGAATATTTAAAGAAGATCTAGAGAAGAAATTCAATTCATTAAATGCAAAAAATTCGAGAAAGCGTGATTGAAACGAACAAACATTTTTTCAGCATGCTACCCGTTGGAGGCAGTCGAAAAAAAAAGTTGTCAAAAGTGCCGCGTTGCCACCTGGTCGGACCAGGTATATCTCTTTCCGTGTTATAGCCACCCGCTCGTCCGCTCGCTCATTCGCCGAGTGCGCGAAAGCGGCCGAAAGGCCGGCAAGCAGAAGAAGCGAGGGGGACAGGGTGCGGAGCGAGGTCATCGCGTTTCGGCCTACTACTACAACATAGTACAAAGGCGTCGCATAAACGCCATCCCGTTACCGGATGACCATTTCTTAGATGGAGCCTATTCGACGCAAATTCCATTCGCGAGATAAAAGATCGGTACATTAATTTTTATATAAATTTTTTTATATAAATTTATATTTGTCACAGTAATCTCTCTTTTATTGGTTTCTTAACCTGTCCTATAAGAAATGAATATTTATTATTGATTTTCAAGTGCCTTTTCAACTGTTTGCCTATCCGTTCATTACGAAGAATGTTGATGCAAATATTTAGATATGATTAAGTTCGCGATTTAAAAATGGGCATTTGGTTGGGCATTTAAGAATGCCTGAAATGTATAAAAGCGCAAGAAAAAAAGACAACAAAGCCACTTCGTCGAAAAAATGCCGCTCGAAGAAAGAGACCCGTTCGGGAAAAGAAAGGAATCTCTTATTTTTCTGAAGAGGTTGTATTCGTGCGTCGCAACATACCGGGGACATAACGGGGGGCGTGGACGTTTGCGTGGTAATGGGCGAGAGGTGTTGCTGTTGCTGCTGCTGTTGCTGTTGTTGCTGATTCTGCAACTGCTGGTGCAGGTTGTTCTGCGCGGCGGCGGCGTCCATGACTCCGCTGCCCGAATACCACCACTGTACGCCGCCGGGCGGCTGTGCGGAAGGTGTGCCGGGTACGCCGGCAGCAGCGGCGCCGCCGCCACCACCGGCACCCGCGCCTTGTCCAGGACCCGGCGCCGTTCCGAGCCTGTAATCGTATCCACCCCTCATGCACGCAGCGGCGGCGCCGCCGCCACCGACCGGCGTGGATGTCGTCACCGGACTCGATGCCGCGCCGGTGGTGGCCGGGTTCTGGAAGCTGGAGGCCATTTTGTAACAGAAGAGTTGGTTCGCGGCAGCGGCGGCGGCGGTACTCCGAACGATCTCCGCATGGTGCTGTTGAGCGAGCTGTTGTTGCTGCTGCTGCTGCTGTTGCTGCTGCTGTTGTTGCTGCTGCTGCTGCTGCTGTTGTTGTTGTTGTTGATTTATCAGATGCTGATGTAGATTTTGTTGCTGTTGATCGGTCGAGACGGCGTTAAGGCCCGAGGACCACCAAGCGGCACCGCCAGAGCCATCCTCTCGGTTACCCGGGCTCGCGGTGCCCCAGCCACCGGCCACGCGGTGGTGCTCCGACATATCGTACACGCGAGTACGTCGTCCGTCACCTCAGCCTCTCGTTTTAACCGCCGGTGGCACAACGAGGGAAAGAAGGACGCACGAAGGAATTGCTCACCCGCGCGCGCGCGCACGCACACATGCACGCGCTCCCTAATACTCACACGCACAAGCGCGCGCTTGCACGCTCATAACTCGGTAACATCCCGCGTGCACGAACAGTGCACACAGACACGCAAAACTCTATCACTCCCCCTCTTCTCTATCTCTTTCTTTCTCTCGTTCGCACGCTCGCTCGCGCACGTACACGGAGAATCTGTCTCACATTCGCACACTCGGAAACTCGCTGGTACGGACGCTTAAATGTCGGATAGAAGAGGAGAGGCACGTATCTCACGTATCGCACGCACGCACGCGTTCAAAACGCGTTCTCACTGTCACACAACACTATCCGCGCGTCTAACCGGCCAATAGTGGTTATTCCACTACAAACACCGATCACACTGTAACCGCTTATTGCTCGTGTGCTCGCTTACTCGTGGCGTACAAGCGGAACAACGTTTCCCCGTCTTTTTCTCGCGTAAAAAGCGCGTAAAACACGCCACAGCGCGCTCGCTTCAGTTCCCGTGGATATACGTACGTACGTTATACTTGGGATGCGGTCTACTCGACGCTACGCTCGACCGTTCGTTAGCTCCGTGAGTAGGTACGGCGGCGGGCAGAGGAGGCAAGCGGGCGGGTGGGTAGGGGAGGGCGCTCTCTCTCTCCCCCTCTAGCTCTTTCTTTTTCTCTCCGACTCCCCACCATCGACAACGAGAAGCAACGACGTCGAACGCTCACGCCGCTTCGTCTCTCTTTCTCTCAAGCCTTCTTTTTCTCTTTCTCTCTCTTATTCCTGTATCCTTTCCCCCTATACTCCGATCCCGTGGCGAAACTCGCTTGTTTGACGGCCACGATGGTTCCTTCTTCTAGCAGCGGCGCCAACGAAGGATACGAATGTATATACCGCGTCCTTGATACAATGTCTGAACAGCAGCAGCAGCAACAGACGAGTACAGGCTTTGCCGCGCTTAAGTGCGACACGAGAGACACATCGCGCGCGTTTGCGGGACGTTCCTCCTGTCGCACGTTACAGGACGCACACAGCTCGATTCGCGGCGTTTCAGCTTGGTTTCGTTTGATTTGATTTGGTTTGACTTGGCGCGACGCGACACGAAGCGACGCCGGCACGTCCAACGAGCACGCCGCTGACGATGACGATGGTAGGTGACGATGGTGGTAGTGTATCAGTAGCAACAGCGGCCCGTATCGGTGGTAGTAGTAGTAGTAGTAGTAACAGTAGTAGTAGTAATAGCTTTTTCACATTGGAGAAGCAGCATACGCGCGCGCGACTCACTTCTCTCTCGTCTATACCGGACTCACTACACACGACGTCGCACACACAGAGGGCGAACCTGCCGAGAACGGACCGCTTGGACGCGCTCGTACGATCTCTTTCTCTCTCTCTCTCTCTCTCTGTTTCCCTGTCGTTCCCCCGTTTCCCCTCGCCCCTTCAACTGGGTGTCTCGTTCGCCGCTTCGCCGTCTCTGTTCTTCTTTCTCTCTTTCTCTCTCATACACATACACCCGTACCAGTTTAGCCTTCCTTCCAGCGGACGCCGGCAAACTCTCGCGACGTTGCCAAGCACGCTTTCACCCGCCCGCTCACAAAGGAGAACCTAAGCGCGCCGGCCAATCGAACGGCGTCATATCGTCGGTGGGGATGGCGGGAGTCTACCGTCATCGCGCTATAGGCAACGTCGCTTTCTCCTCTTCCGTTCGTTCTCTCTCTGTTCGTAGAGAATTCGAGAGAGTCGCGCGCGCGACTCTCCGTATAGTCCCACCGTTAAGATATGGTGGGAAATAGGGGGAAGGGGAGAAGGGAGTGGAGCGCAGAGGGGCAGAAACGACTGCGAACCCTTCTCTACCCTTGAAACTCGAGGTCAACTTTTAGGCAGAGAAAGAGAAGCGCGCAGAAAAAAAAAAAGAAGAAAGACACGCATCTATCGCGACCGACTGGCTGACTCCTCGTCGTCGTCGTCATTACGTGTTCTTTCTTCCGTTTCTCTCCTCTTTTTTATACTTCTTAGTTTCGTTACACCGCTACGCTCTCGCTAGCTCGGTGGAATTTGCCCCACATCGGACAGCGCGGGCGACGCTTCCTGCTTCTCGTTTGCCCTTTTTCCCGCTAATACGTACGCGCGAGGACGAGGACGAGGACGCACGTCGCTGTCTTTACCGACCGGCAACGATGTACTTTGGTCGATACGGAAGAGTCTTCGAAAATACTCTCCGGAAAATCTCTCGTTCGGCGAGTTCGGAATGCGCCTCGAGGAACGTTCCTGCGAGACCGGATTCGAAGCTCTAACGGAACTGATCAGCACGCGTACGAGCTACGGCGAGGCGCCATGCGCCATCTTAAAGGAGAGACTTTTTAGTAAACATTTTATACAAAATTATAATAATCTCTGACGTAATTAATCGCCACTATTTCAAGCTACTCCTTCGCTGATCACATTTTCTAATCAATAGATTATATCTGTTTTCTATTCCGAATTAATTATTATTTGATAAAGGAGGCAAAACCTCATTCGTGTTATGACTTGGGGGACACGGCGTGTTTCAATTGGCCGCTATAGTCTGCCGTTCGCGAACACTCATTTTTTCCCTCTTATACCCCTCATTATCTCTTTACCGATACAGTCGCAAGAATGTAATGCGCACGCTATTCTCACGTCGCGGCTCTTTCTTTCACAGGCGTGCTGGTGAAGTTGCAAATATCGCGAATTCCGACTCGCGCAAACCGGATAAAGAATCCAACCGATCTCGGGGGAATGGCCAAAATTTTTCCTGATCCCTGAATGCGCTGTCTCTTTCTTTCTTTCTCTGTCTCCGATAGCGCGCCAGGAAGATGAAATGAAAATGTATATCGCGGGACCTGTGCGTCGGACCTGTCCTCCCCGTCCCTTCTATCGCCTCGCGTTTCCTCCTCCACCCTTCCTCCCCTTCTCCCTCTGGGCAACCCTTGCCGTCGTGAGGCGGCGGGTGAGTCGGTGCGCGGGTAACCCGGCGCGAATCGAAGAGAGAGGAGAACAGAACCGGGTCCGGGTCAATAAGACGCGCGAGCAAGGGAGACAGGGAAAGCGAGAGAGACGGAGGTAGTGGCGTTGCCGAGGCTAGAAGGGAAAGGAGGGGCGAATTGGAGAGAGGGCACACAGGCGCGAGAGAATCGAGAGAACTGGGGAGTGCGAGAAAGACGAAGAGAGACAAAGCCATCGTGCATTCCCAGGGCCCAGCATTGGCAACCTAACGAACGTATCGTACATATGTCCGAAAACATAAAAATTAGCAAATTTCTAATGAAATGAAACGAGAAGGAGGAACAACGGAATGAGAATAGTATATAGAAATATGAGGAAAAACGCTGAACGAGAATAGAATGAAAACGGAATTCAAATTCCCCTACCATGTTGGTATGGCTCAACAACATTGGCCGAACCGGATTCCATTCGAAATATACCTGTATATTATGTTCGAAAAATGTTAACTCGTGTGGCTTTAAAGATTCGAAATATTCCATTCAACGGAAGATTGAATCTAATCCAAAATTGTCTAATTGGATATCGTGTTAGAAACTATGCACACATACGCTATGAAAAGTTGAATGACTCTTCAATACAGAGTCAAATTCGTCAAGATACATGTGTATAAGAATTTTATTTAGCGTTTCTAAGATGGATCGAGATAAAATTTCTCACAAACTTTGATTATTATCTATAGCCTTTTATAATTAAAATTCTAAAAGATTCAATTTTGATTACTTGTAGATGAGCGAAGAAGAAGAGTGCCCTATCTCATAGGGGCCTTCCACATTTTGGCGTGAGCATTACGTTTGGCGGATGGTGGCGCGCTTTTCTTTTTCGAAATGTGTATCGTAATTCTTTATCTAATACAATACGCGGCCATACACGGAAGAAAAACAATGATGTCACGATGGTGGGAACCCTTCGAATTGTACCATCTGCCTTTCGAGGGTACCGTCGTGCCATGTGGCGATACAATTGTCGCGCCCTGCCGATGTGCGCCTTTTATCGAACAGTTGAAACAAAAAAGGACAAATATATATATGTCGACTTAAATAAAATTTAATTGCCAGCGTATTTGGAAATCTTTTAATAAAAATTACACAAAAGCAAGTGTGTTTCAAATATTTAACAAATTCTTAATTAACTTTTGAAATTTGTATGTTGGACCATATCATGTTTCTCAAAATCAGTTTCAATTTTATCATTTATCAGAAATGCATTTTTTATAAGAAGAGAATGTTTTACAATAGAGATTTTACAATAAAAATCATAAAAGTACGAGAGAGTATAGTGAAAGTTTAATTTTATTCCCATGTCTGTTATTTCATGTGGTTGTGATAACCAAATACAACCTAATAAATATCAAAACAGATTTGTGCAACGAATCATGTGTCTACATGTCGAAACCAATTTTAATTGAATCGTTTCATAGAAATAATAGTTACTTATATTTATAAATACGTGACAGAAACTGCTCTTTGTGTGACAAAAATTAAAATAATATCTAAGTTAATTTTATCTTAACTTTTCAGGAAAACAAATAGTAGTATGCACGAAATTGTAATACATAATTCTGCAGAAAAAGGATTAATCTCTACGTTATTTCGTGATTCAGAGGGGGAGGGGGAAGTCTAGTCGAAAGTTTCGCGCAGTGAAGGAAAAAATAAAACGTAGTCGCGCACGCGTTTATACTTGTAACGCACCGCGGTGTGTGATGTAACTCTTAGATAACTCATAACTCTAGAGCTCGTAATTCTTAACGTGTACGACGGAAAGCCGATTATCCGAAACGAACGTAGGCGAAGGGATAGAGGTGCGGGGAGAGGCACGATTTGTTCCAACCGAGCGCTTTTGCGGATAATCGATCGACGAGATGTTGTGCATCGACGAAAGAAGCTTGAAAAAACTATGATTAAGCATACGGTTGAGAAAAAAAAAAAAAAAAAAAAAAAAAAAAAAAAAATGTTTGCGGTTGTGTTTTTCTTTACGTATACTATGCTATAGAGCCGGTGTATAAGTATACGGACGAGTTTAAGCTTCGTTAGAGCTCATGAATGCTTCCGAGGCTTGAAACATTGTGAGACGTGGTGTAATACACGAGCGACGCTTTTATACACGTCTGTGTCTTGGACAACAGCCGAGATTCCTACTGGAAACCGGAAGAGGAACACATATATTGATGACTGTTGGAAAGTGACACAAATGATAAAGAAAATAAATAAGAATTATCTTTTCAAGTTGGTAAAAAAACATTCGAAAACAACAGAAATGTTTTTTTACATTTGACACTTGAGGGAACAAACTTCCGTTCGATGATAATTGAGTGTAAATTTATGAGAATTATGGGAATTTGAATTCAATTCTGATAATTTTAAAGGAGCTTTCTCTATCACGGATTATACTATAAGCGCTATTAAACAAATAATTGATATTTAACATGTTTTATATTAGGAGACAAAATTACGGCTTGAAGAATGATACTGATAATGAGTTACTTGATGTTTATCTTTCGGTATGAAAGAGGCTTTCAAAAATTTGAATTTGTCATTGCGGCTTTTTTATAAAAATTCTTTGCAGACAATTAGAATTTCTAAAAAATTTAACACGACCGTTTCTTCTTTGTACATTTTCATCGTAAAGAACACGAATTCTCATTTCTTTTAAGCTATATTATATTACCTTTTCTATCTCTTATACTCAAAATAAAAATTACGTATAAAACTTCTGAGACGATTTATTATGGTTTTAATTGTAATTCGTTTAAATCTTCAATTTAACTCGTAAAATTAGAGGAAAAATTTATAATCGCGTTATATATCTTTACACCTTAATCGTAATCAATAAACTGCTTTCACATTTTTGCAGTTACGTATTCATATTCGTACATACACATACTCATTATAAACACAACAGAAATACATATTTAAAATATTTTTAGAACATTTTATCGAAATGCCCTTGTATAACATGGCGATTATCAAACACAGGACTTATCAACTAAACACACATGTAATCATGCACTGGAAAGAGAAAGAGGACAGACAAAAATTAAAAGAAAGCACACAGATAATAAAATAATAAAAAGAATAGATTTATGGGGCCGTGGAAATATGTATATATATATTTATCTCGGATGCGCGCGAGAAGCAGTGTCACATGACGACTGGCAGGCTGACAATGAATAAAAACGTCAAGCCAGTCAATCGACGACATGCTTGCTTTTGGCGTCTCTACCGTCCCGCCGCTCGCTCAAATTGCAACCAAACTCGTAACCGCGCTAAACAAAACAAAACAAAACAAAAAAAAAAAAAACAAAAAAAAAAAGTCGATCTTCTAAAATCTCGTCTTTTATCATAATGGCGTGAATAGGACGCGCATAGGCATGGCGATACGAATGACAATTATGTGCCCGAAACATCAAAACATCATTCATAACGCACGTTACAATCATACGATGCGTACTAACAAGTCTGAACGCACTTTTATGCCGCGCTTCGCGCGCGCGAGATGCACCATCGGTAGGAGAAACGCCTACGTGTAAACACTCTTCTCTGTCTTCTACCCTCTCTCTCCCTCTCGCTTTCTGTTATTCTATCTTGCCCTCCCGCCAACTCCTCCTCGGTCGTTTGCTCACGATCTATTTCGCTGGCAATAACGAGCGCGTATATGATTGTCGAGAAAAATAATCTGAGAGAGAGAGAGAGAGAGAGGGAGAGAGAGAGAGAGGCAAGAAGGCGTCGATTCTCGTCGGGATCTCGGGGACCCGAATTCGCTCGCTCTTGACAGCTTTCGAGAGAATCGGTAGCGGGAAAACTACTGGCAGCGCGTCCCGATATACGACGCCGTTTACGGCGAAACGATGACTGAGAGTGCGGTTGATTCGTCGACAAACCGTCACGTCGTCTTCCTCGGAGGAAAGAAATCCACATCGCGATGCATCGCGAGCAACGCAAAACGCGGGACGTGCAGCGTAAGCGCGCGGTAGCCTTGACGTCAACGTCGTTGACGCGGCGGAGCGAGCGAGCTGGCGAGCGAGCGATCGAGCGAGCGGCGGTGGCGGCCGCGAACGTTTCCACGGGCCTCCCCGCGATCCGCGGTATATCCGCGACTCGCGCGGACCACGCCATTATTCGTTAATCGCGCGATATCGCGGATAAAGAGCGACAGAAGGGCATAAATACGGTGAGACGTACGCGCACGACGCGTCCGTCCGGGCAGCCATTTGCTGCCTTGTGCTGACGGTAGTACGGAAATAAAAGGTATACGTACGAGAAACGCAGCACGGTAGCGGGCTACGGCCAACGGACACGCTCGCGTTGGGCGGGTCCGGCGAAACGGACGTACGCGCGGTGCTTTCGCGCGGCATCCGCTGAATCTGTCAACGCGACCCGCGAAAAATATTTGGATTTTTCTTACCTGGAACGGGATCCGCTACGGCTAAAAGGATTCTTCAGCTTCGAATATCGCGACCCCACGCCACTCGTGCGGCATACGGCCAGTGTACGGGGAAAATCTCCCCGTTACCATTGGCTTATTTCAGATAAGCCGCAAAAAGTAAGCCAATCAGCGCCGACCTTTTATGTTTTGGTGCGTTTCTTTTTGCCCCCCACCAAATAAAATGTCGGCTGATCGAAAGGGCGGGAAAATCCGTGCGAGGAAAGCCGATCGTTTTACGGCGAACGCGATCGATCTCGTCGCCGTCGTGACCGCCTCGATGAGGACGGACGCGTTCGACGATCGACTCCGGGTTTCGTTTCTTCTTTCGTTCGCCGATACATCGTCACGACCGTCTACGCGAGATCGTTTAGGTTAGGCATCGTTTCTATTGTAGATGGCGCCACTCGACGCACAAGCGATTACGACTCGACGCAGGATCGCCAATATCGGAGCGAAAAAACTAACAGTTGCGCCAAGAAAACTCAAGTCTCGTGCCCTTGCCATGCCGTCGTCTGCTCCTCAATTTTTTTTGTCCAGGAAATTACCCGCGTGTTTCGAACTACATTGTTACGATAATACATCGCACCGTTTTTTTTCCGATTTTTATCTTTCCACGAGAGAAATGCATCGAAAAATTAATCAATCGTGTTTCTAATGTAAAAAGGAAGATGTGTCAATGTATTCTTCGCATTATATATATAACATAAGCATAATAAAAATAATTTGTTACGTGTTTTTTTTTTTTTTTTCGATTATTTTTACGCCCTAAGTATTGCGCGTGGCTCTTTATATTTTTTTTCCCTTATTTTTTATTTTTAATAAAAATAGATTGAGCGATTCGATACTCACTTTAGTAAGAAACTCGAGTAGAAAAAAAAAGATCTTTTTTTTTTTTTTTGTTAGAAAAAAACTAAGATTCTGTCCATTGTCTCGCCTCTCTTTTTATATGCGCGTTCTTAAAACTTTGAATCATACATCATTATATTTGTGAATACATAATTAATCAATATCTCTTGTACATGGATTATGCAAGTTTATCTTGTCTTGAATAGGATTGCTTTGATACCGAATGATTACGCGAGAATTGTTCTGAAATGCACGTGCGAAATTTACATATTTAATAGTGATATATTTTCGTTTTAAAGAGTTGGCGATCATAATATTACTAGACGTATGTGTGTGAGATAAGCTTGTATATATGTTATATGTAGGCCCATTACACCTTTCATTGATTTTCCCCAAATATTTTTAGGCAAATTTTTAGAAATATTCAAATATAGAGGGGAGGAGAGGCCAAATAATATAATGCTCTTTACGATTTTAGATTTCACTCCTCGGACTGCGTTCTTCCGCGCATGCGCGGAAGAACGCTGACATCGTCTAGCAACTTTGTGTTGGCGAGGTTCCCCCCTCATCTCATCCTCATCTCGTGGGCAAAACATTTTACGACGGGACGCGCAGTCGGAGTCGAATGCAGTCGAAAACGGTGTCGTCGTGCGCGCGTATGTGCTTTCGGTCGAGTAAACAATAAAAATCCCTCGGGCGAGAGAGACCCCCTCCCCTTGGGTTGTGGCAAATAATCTCGCGCGTATGCGTGCGTGTACGTACATACGCGTGTATGAAAGCAGCGTAGCTTGAGCGTGAATTATCAGCGCGTACATATTGCGTGAGACAATTGAAATTATACATACGTATACGTACACGTACCTACGTGCTACGTGCCAACTTGGTTCGCTGTTGCCGGCGAGGCGTTTCGCGTGGCAGCTAAATCGCTCCAAGATCCCTCCCCGGATCTCGCGGTGCTCCGGATTTTTCTGACGAACCGTCGTCGATTTCCCGCGAACAAAGACTGGCCGACCGGCGAGCTAGGTTTGTGAACCGCGTCCCCAAAAGGGACAGACAGACGAATCCATAAAGGAAGAAGTAGGGGAACGCTCGGCTCGGCGAGCTAGGGGCCTCGGATTGATCGCGCGCGCGGAAGAGAATTATGAGCGAGCGACGTCGCTTAGCGTGCTGCTGTCATCGTCGTCGTCGTCGTCGCCCCCGTCCCGCGGCCGCCGCCGGTTATTCCACGATCGAAGAAGACTTTTGACACGAGCGCAACGTGCGCGCGAATCGTCGTCGTCGTCGTCGAGACGGACGACGCTACCGTTAGATACTAGGCAGCGAGACGAGAATCGTCGCCAGCGAGGCAGGATGAACGGCTTCAGCACCGGCGAGGAGGACTCCCGGGGGGCGGCGGACCAGATCTGCTGCCTCGTCGATGAGGGCGAGCGATGCTCCCGCCCGGCCGGCAACGCGTCCTACAGCAAACGTATCCAGAAAACCGTCACTCAACGGCGGCTCAAGCTTAATCTCGATCACATGGTGCGTATGTCACATACGCCACAAATCTAAGCACATGCATTTTTCTCGTTATTCCAAGTGCGACGTTTTATGTCGGCGATATATTTGTCGGTATCTCTAAATTATTCAGCATATTATTCGCAACAATTGCAACAATTTGAACAAAGTGATTTAATGATATATATATATATATATACATATAATCTTTATGATAATTTATTATTATTTATAGTTATATTTAGTATATATATATATTTCGGATAAACAAGATACAATGACAAATCAAATTGTTATTATGTTATGCAATGTTTTTTTTAACAAGTCAAATACCGACAAATTGCAAAACTTATCATTTTAATGTAACAAATATTACCTCATTATGATGTTTACTTTATCAAATGTTTACTTTACAAGAATATAATTTATAAATTATAAGTTTATAAATTTGTAGCTATCAGAATCTGACATTTTATAACTAATTATTAAACTAATTATTAATAAACTAATTATTTAAAATAAGGAATACATTTCAATCAGAGGTTTTTATAAACTGTGACATTTTATGTGCACTGTATCTGCTAATTATTGTTATTGTTATATATAATGTATTCTTATTCCCGTTTTGTGTACTATGTACAGGCAAGACATATATACATCTGTGATTATCACAAGCAAGTGATCCAATGTGCGAGGACTAAGCAGCAGCAGCAACGTAGGCGCAAGGATTCTGAAGAGGATTCAGGCGAAACTGACAACGATCTCCCAGAAGTTGATCTCTTCCAATTGCAAGTCGGTACTTTGAGACGGTACAAAAGGCACTATAAGGTTCCCACACGTCCTGGTCTTAACAAAGCTCAGTTAGCAGATGTAAGTATATCTTTCCTCAATTTTATTCTCTTATAATGTACATAAAATAATAATAAAATATAGCCATAATAATATAAAAGATATATAAGATATAAAAAATATAAAAGATATATAAGATATAAAAAATATAAAAGATATATATAAAGATAAATACAATTATGATATGCACACACACACACACACACACACACACATATACATTATTAATTATGAATTAATTATTCATAAGAAATATATCAAAACAACACCACATATATACATATTACATTTTAGAGATGTTTTAAGTCTTATTTTGTGCGCGCACTCTAAATATTTTTTGAATAATATTCATGATTTTTATCATTATAATATTTTCATAATAATAAATTTAAGAATTATTTGAATAAATTTTTGTTACAGACTCTTATGAAGCATTTTAAGACCATCCCTGTAGTGGAGAAGGAAGCACTAAGTTTTTTCATATATACTGTTAAGACCAACGCAAATAAATTAGATCAAAAAAACGGTTTGAGTAGTAGTGATACAACGTAGCGTGATCAGAAAATCTCCCATGTCACTATTGTAATATTACAAATTAGTTATGTGATAAGTATATCAATTTTTACTTGTTAATACATACATGTATTTTATAAGAAACTATGTATATAAAGTATATATATATATGTATATATATTATTAGTATATATACACGCACACACCATACATATATATACATATATATGCATATATACATACATACATACATATATAAATATAATTATAAAAATTTTATATACATACATCTAAAATAGGCCAGCTGAATAACTCGGCTGCTTTTGGCGATAGAAAAAAAATGCACTAATTTTGCACCTACAAAAAAACTATTGACATCAGATTATGTCCCTCTTGAAATCAAGCAAAATTGGTCTGATGCATTTTTTTCTATCGCCAAAAACAGCCGAATTATTCACAGGTGGCCTGTTTTAGATGCCTCACCCTGTATATATAAAATAATTTTATATATGTATATATCTGTATGTGTATATGTATTCTTCAATACATCAAAACCATTCACTATTTTATTTTATCTTTCTTTCGTCGCACATTTCACATAAATGTACGTAGATTTTAAATGATATAAAAATGTGCGTGCGAGTTGTTGGCGGTTTCGTTTTAGAAATTGCGAACGACAATATATTTTGGAAAACATTTCAAGAGAAGCAGTTATTATAAAATAAACGAGACATCTACGAAGCCAATGCGTTTTTTTTTATATGTGTATCTTTACCTTTATTGAAAAAAAGAACCAAATACATAGAATATTCTGTTGTTTCGGGATCTCGATATATCCCCGATACATATTTAAAGTATATGAATATATGTGTACAAGCAAGGAGACAAGTCAAGTGCACTGTACAATGCTCACTCTGCTCTCGATTTTTCTTCAATGTAAAGAAAGCATAATATGTTTTTGGTGTTTTCTTTATGCTTGTTCATTAGTAATAAACTTAATTTATTACTAATTACATATTATCATTATTAATTCACTTTTAAGTTTCGAATTTTTATCAAAAAATTGTTATCCCTCTATGGGGATAAAAGATTATAAGTAAAAATATATAAATTTCCTTCATTAAAAATATTTACAGTGGGTAGCCAAAATATTTCAACCATGTATTTTCCTTAAAATAAAATTACATACAAAAAAAGAACATCAGGGCAATGTGTCTCAAATCGATAATTTTTTATAATTTTACATTTATTGTCAGCAAAAAACTATACAGTTAATTTAATTTTAACATGTAAATGTAACAAAATACAAAAAAAAATTGTCTAGTTGGTAAAGTATTTGTTAGGTATTATTATATATTGCTACTAAACGACATTAACATAATATACTTTAATATTTCATTATGGTCTATAGCCTTTGCTGACAATGATTTGATAGTTTTTCTGTACTATTTCTTAAAATTTTTCGGATAATAGTTTTTTCAATTAGTTTTATTAGAAACTGTTTTCATAAATTTAAATCAAACAAATATCGAAAATTTTTTAATTGCGATTAATAATCGCGCGCAATGTAATGTAAAACTGTTGAAAACATTATATAATGCTGCATATTCTTTAAGGAAAATAAATAAAAAAGGCTCGCTTTTTTAGAAAAATCTACAGTGAAGATATTTAGGCCAATGCACATGCATATATATATATATATATATAAGCCCTGATGTTTATGCGAGAGTAACTAGTTTCTTAAAACACACAGCTAATTTCGATCTTTCTTCAGTTCCTTCCCAACCAAAGTTTGATTACAATTTAATCAAACATTAGTATAACAGCTTATATTTACCTAGACATCCTCATTTGGACCCATTCTCTATTTTTAACTTTTTTAATATTGTGTTTCATTGTTATCCTCTGTCTAAATTAATAAATAATGTTTACATTCAAAAGCGGTTATAATTCAACTAATCCACCGCATATATATTTTTTTACCCACTGTATATATATTGAAATTATATAATTCATTATATAATTAAATCAACACTATTGCAAGGCAGCAAAATTATTTTCAATGCAATCTTTTGCAGCACATTTTCTATAAATTGTATATAATTGTCATGTAATAGAATTATGTTGCTTTTTTTTGTCATTCCAGCTCTTTCATTTCTTGTATCTTAAGGAAGCAGTCTACTGTAACTTTATAATGCAATATAGGTGCATGGTGCAATATATATGCTTTTATTATGTTCTAACATTACCAGTATCATTATTATTGTTATCATTGTTTAATATTAATGTACCATAATAGTATAGAGCAGTTACTTGAATTATTATTATTCTATCGCTAAAACTTATACAGCAAAACTTGGATTATCCGAATGCCGATTGACCGAATGTTTGATTACTCAAATAGCCAACAGGTTATATAAGCGTTCAGATAATCGAAGTTCGTATTGTATTATATATCGGTACATTTATATATATTAGCACACGTTAGTCATGTATATGATATAGCGTCTGCGTGTGATGGAGAAATTCATTATAAAATGGAATTTTTGTCTTCTCCGAATCTGGCTGTTTTTTTTATCGTTATAAGTATATAATCGAATTTTTGCAAATCAATTTCTCTCTTTTCCGGACAATATCAACAGTGTACATAATATATACAACAGTTAGTAATACTATGTTAGTAATAATATCGTCCTCTACTCTCGTGTCTTGCTGCGTTCGAGTGCTCAAATGAGAATAGTCCACCTTCGTCTGTCCCGCGTGTATCCATCATACAACTTATACAGTTCCAACTTCTTCTGGATCATAATTTTTCACTCTCTTGTTGTATGCAATTATTTCCTGTATTAAATTTGCGTATATATAAATAATCGTAAAATTACCATATAGCACAATAGAAATCTATCGAATATAAATATAATCCTGAATATATATCTCAAACACGTTTCGACACAAACAACATACTCTTTCGTATCTGGCTCTATCCTCTTCTGCAATAGCCATGTATTTGGATTTTGTTTGCAAATCCGTGCTCATCCACAATTTTCCTAATTCCTTCGCGATGTCACCTACTCCCATCTCGGGATGTAATTCCCTCATCTTGCCGCGTAATTCTTGGCAAAAGTAAAAAAATGCGGATCTACAACATATTAACATCGAGATGCAACAGATATTAAGTAATTACTTAATTGCATAAGCATCAACAATCAATAACTTGTATCAATTAAAATATCCTCATTTGGATGTTTCTAGAAAATGCATTTAATGATTGTTGAAGCATGCATATAAAGTTTATTGTACATCTTTGAAATAAAATTCTGTTGTCGAACGTTTCCGACTTAACATACAGTGCCCGTTTCGGTGCGTCTTTGTCCCTATATCTCTTTGTTCCTCTACGTGTTGGCCTCTCTGGTTCCTCGTGACCAGTATAATGTCTATCGTAGTAATACATTTTCTTAGTGTTGCAATGTGCATTACCATCTTCCAGATGTACAATCTGCAAAATACATTATTATTAATTGTAATTATTCTATACATGGTTTCATATATGATTTTAGTTGCGATGCATGAATCAATACATTGTCAACTCTCTCAATACATTCTTTTTATTTGTATCAATTAGGTATAACTATGTAATTTAACTAATGTAATTTCTTTTTTTTCGGAATTATTGACTTTCTAAATCATATTTTTCTACACATTTAAATCATTATTAGGCCATTGTACTGGTTATCGTACCTCATTCTTCACTGGCACTGCATTGATAATAAAATTTTTTCCCTGACCAGTAGACCACTTGGTTTGATTAGTAGAAACACTTGACACATTATTGGGTTTCATCACGCCTTCTCCACCACATTCTATAAGGGGAATGTATAAATTACAATATAATATATACCCGTGCGGCAATTTTTATACAGATACAATGGCTATATTATATACCTGGTGCCATATTAGTCTGGCCGACAATCATAGTGTCTCTCATTCCAGAGTTTAAAGAATTATCACCAGTTTTCGTAAGATATACATTCTTTCTATCTGATGATTCCATGATTGCAATCTCTCTTATTTTTGCGTAATTCAAAACGTGTGACACAATGTATTAAAGTTATAGTTATCTGTCAATGGATAATATTAATTTATTCTCAAATAAAAGATAATGTTTGTATATGTGTTCGTGTAAAATTTGTGTCAAAATCTGAAGACAATTGTTCATCTAGGCTGCATTAGGAAACATCATCCGTGTGAACACAAGTGTCGTTCTATGTTTGTTAATTACTAAAAATTGAACAAAGATAGAATAATGCTCGTGGCACATGAGTGATGTTTCCGAACGCAGCCCTAAAACTTGTTCCAAAAATGATGATTTAATTGTCTGATTGATTTAATGCAAATAATAAACATGTTTAAAATAATGTCTAAATGTTTAAATTATTTAATTAGAAATAAGATAATAATTAGAAATATAATAAAAATAGGAAAGAAAGAAATAGTAGTAAAGGTAGCAGTAAAAGAGAAAAATTAAAAAGATAATAATCTCCAAACTTTTTTTTAGCTATGTCCCTCTTTATTAATTTTATTATAACTTGTAATTTACTAATTTGTTATTCTTGGATGCTGGAATTAATATGCATCTTTTTCAATTATTATTAATTAAGGAAAACTGAAAATATTCGTGGAAAAAAATTGAGTATTAAAACGAATGTGTCAAATTTATTTTTTCTGGCTTTTTTTAAACACAATTCTTTTAAAACTTTCGAAAATACACTTATTTCGTTTTACGAAAGTTAGAAGAAAAAAAAAATATAAGCACACAGAACAATAAGAATGCAGATATATATCGCCTATTCACGCGACGTCCTTCCTTTCTTCTTTGGAAGAACTACGAGAATTTCTACAAAATCGCAAGTACAGCCGCGTCTCGAGCATTCGCGTTGTTCGGTCGCTTACCAGACGTCGCGGACGCGACACTCGATGCGAAGCGGGAGGCGTGGGTTCGCGATCGCCGAAAGAATTAATGATCGGCGAAAAGATAACTGTCAAACACGTCGAGTGGATAATAATCTCTCAAAGATTAATAACCGAGCCTAATAATGGATGCTTATATGAAATGTATGCAATTTTAGGGACGACGAAGCACCATCATATGTACGAGTAATCGCGACTATCCCACAAATGATATAAAAAAATCATCCGCTATCGCGAAAGAGCGAGATGCGACGATTTGATGGGATCGTCGCGAAGATTGTCAACGCGACGACTACAAACGCGATATTGAAAGAATAAAAAAAGAAAAGGACCGGAATCCAACTCACAGATAGAACAGTATGCGATGTGTGACGTGTATATGTATATGTATCTGTGTATATATATA